AATTCCTTAATCTCTTTTTCATAGAATGAATCTCTTGTCGAAGGGTCATCTTTTCATGACATTTATTGTCATTAATATGATTAAGGTGTTGCCATTTGCGCTCCAGTGATGGCAGGCTTCTCCCAGATCTCGTTGGGTTTAAAAAATCGTAACTCCTGAACCGGCTTAGAAAGCTGCTTTAAATGGTATCAGACGTTCTGCCTAGACCAGTATTTTCTGTGCTAAATGCCAGCGGTTGTCCAGGGTTGCAGAGAAGACTTCCTCAGCCTTGCATGGGCACACCAGGAGTTGAACCAGAGACCTTTGGCATAGAATATGTGTTGCAACTCCAAGCTACGGCTTTGATGCGTGAAGAATGGAGCCCTCAAATTCCATTCAATGAGGTGCAAGATTGGACTGGGTGACAGTTTCATGCTTCTTTTCTTTTTAAAAAATTACTGTCCTGCTTGGCTGAAATCCAGTTAACTCTACCACAATCATAAATCTACCAGAATTGCTCGATTGCTTTATATTCAAGTTTGTCATTTCTGAAATGGAAACACCTTGAAAGGCATCACTTACATCTTCATCCTCCTGCTGCTGCTTTGATATATTCATAAGAAAAGCCTCAGTCCGAGTTACACAAAGTCTGAAATCCTATGGGGCAACCAAGGTAGGGTAAGAAGTGGTTGTGTTGACAGTTACACATTCTCAGACATTTCGGTAAATCTGTAGTAGTAATTAGTACTGTAAGTTGTTCCAAGAACCACACACACACACACACACAATCCCAAATCCAAAACACTTCTGGTCCCAGGCATTTCGGATGAAGGAAACTCAACCTAATACTGCTTCTGAACATGGAAGGTCCATTTAGCCATGATAGAAGCTAACATAAATGATAGTTCTTCATTCCCCCCCCCCCCATAAAGAAGTCTAGTATCTTTATGAAAAGTGACATGAACCAGTTACCATCAATGCATCATACAGAAGTAAACTCTGTGTAGGACAAACATTGTCATGGCTGCTCATCATCATACTGTATATACTCATGTATATACAGAAGGCATTCAAATGCAAGCATTAACCTGAGTCAGCTGCGGGAGTGAGCTTTACAGCTTTGTGAAGTTATCAAGGACAGCATCCATGGATGGAATTGACTGGCGTTGCATTGAGGATGGATGAGTGAAAGTGCTTCTTTGTACCGTGCCTAATTAATTTATAAGATTCTGGCCACAAAGATGGATTGCTGGCTCCTGGCTTAAGATGGGCATAAAAGCCTACTAGGCAGATAGGCTATTGTTGGGTATTAGTTGTCTAGGATGTCCAAATACAGAGGCACTGGTCCCCGAATGACAGTTGTTGGAGGGAGGACATGAGGGTGAGGGCTGTTGCATTCATGCCAGCTGCTTGTGGGTTTCCTGTGGCATGTGGTTGGTTAATATGGTGTATCAGACGGACCTTTCATCAGATCTGGGTATGTTCTTCTTGTGTCTGTATATTAGTTCCATAAGATTTAGTGAAAAAGAAGACTTTTATGGTGCCCTTGGCTGGCTGCACATCGGTGTTCTTTTAAACAATGGTTGAATAATGTGGCTAAAACAAATTGCATCCATGTTGGAGCAGAGTAATTGTTGCAACAACACCCAGCCTCCTTCTAGTTGCCAGTTGGCTTTGTCAAAAGCATCAGGATGACTTCCTTTCCATAATTCAGTTTTGCATCCTAAAAAAAGACATCCCAGAGAGCCAAACCAGCCCTTGCCTTCCACATTCCTGTGGTCCCTTCCATCCTTGGCCAAAGCCAGTCATTAGCTGGCCTCAAGGCCAAAGTTGGCCACTATTTTTAGAATAGCTTGGCAAATGCAAAGGGCTTCAGAGGGTGGGGATGGCATGGCCTTGTCTGAGAGATTTTGTGGATGGACAGATGCTCCGGTACTTTAGGCGTTTTAGCAAGTAGCAATGTGGAAATGCATCCATCCACCATGCCAGTGGCAAGGTCATGCCTGACTCATCTTCAATCATTGTTGTGGCTCGTGTTTGCTTTTTCCCACCCTCCTGTCCAACAACATTGGGGCAGTTGTTGTAGTGTTGGCCATGTTGCCTATGTGCCACAAGTCTTGTCCTTTCAGAACAGGAATGGTGGGCAAAGTGGGAGAGACTGATAAATAGAGTAAAGACATAATTCATGAATTGTTCTTCTAGAAAGCAAGGTGTGATTTTAACCATTTTCTTCTCTCTGAGAAAACCCTTGAAAACTAGGCAGAGACTGTTCAGAGCTAATACTGTGCAACATTTGGAAGTGCTCTTGTTTTGCATAAAATACAGCATTTTTCTGCACTTATGTGGAAATCTGTGGAACACTTACCCTTTTTTTGTGCAGAAAATACTGTTTTGTGCAAGGAAAAAAGGATGGATTTTGATGCAAATGTACTACATCATCCCTTGGATTTATTTTGGAGGAAGCTTTCAAGTGGTTCCGAGAAGGTTACAAAAATGGTTTATTTATGCAAGGCTTATCTGACCTGGTTGTTCCATTTCATGTATGCATGCCATTAGTTTGGAATATGCTTGGTAAAGTATTACGTAGGCTGTAGGAAAAGAGGAAGATCACATTCAAGATGGACAGGCTCATTCAAAGAAGTCATGGCTACCTTGAGTCTGCAAGACCTGGGAAAGGTGGTGGATGATAGCGGGACTTGGAGGCCTCTTGTTTGCGGGGTTGCCATAAGTCGAAGGCAGTTAGCCACAACAACAGTTTGGAACAAAATAATTGTTGAACCACACTACTTTTTTTGGTGATGAAGGAACTTTTTCCTATTCCTTTCACATTATTTCTGCCTCTAGTACCAGATTCTCTGTTCAAGAAGTCATGCCCAGGAAGACATCTACCTTGTTAATCGGGATATCTTTGTGTCCTAGGTGGTGTCTGCATGGATCAGGATATTCCAGGTATAGCCTGGAGTACCCCAGCCCCAGAGCTGGCCTGACCTCCCTCTGTTACCTGGGGTCCTCCATTGCTAAGCCTGGCAGCTGTTCACATGTATATGGCTGGCCACCTTGTTCTGAACTCAGAGCAAGCAACATGCAGTGTGAAGGTCTGGGCAGCACAACGGGAAGAGTTTT